GTGTGTGTGTGTGTGTGTGTGTGTGTGTGTGTGTGTGTGTGTGTGTGTGTGTGTGTGTGTGTGTGTGTGTGTGTGTGTGTGTGTGTGTGTGTATCCTCCAAAAAAGAAAAGAAAATGTAATATGCGATTGGAACACAAGAGTTTTTCCTTTTCGAAATTCAAGTAGAAAGGGTACATGTTGTATTTGAACATAGTTCTCGTGTCTTTTATCCGAACTGCTTTACTATTTGAGAATAGTGGACCCACACTGTTTCGATTTCGGAATGTTCAAAACTCAAGGACCAGCCTACTCGGCCTTCTACGGGCAACTACTAGTCCTTTGCATGCCCCGCCCCTTGCTAAGCCCTGAAACCTCAAAATGTCCACCTGGGGTCCCGGTTAGTGCTTTATTCACGATCTTCATGGAACGCTGGACCCAATTTCCAGCAGGTGGCGCTCCCCATCAATAGACAACAGAATGTGTGTGCGTGTGCGTGTGTGTGTGTGTGTGTATGAGAGAGAGAGAGAGAGAGAGTGCGTATGCGTGTGTGTATGTGTGTGTGTGTGTGTGAGAGAGAGAGAGAGAGAGTGTGTGCGCATATGCGTGTGCACGTATGTGTGTGTATGCATGTGTGAGAAAGAGAGAGAATGCACTTGTGTATGTGCGTAAGCGTGCGTGCGTGTGTGTGTGTGTGTGTGCCCTCCAAAAAATAAAAGAAAACGTAATCTGTGATTGTACACACGAGTTTTTCCTTCTCGAAATTCGAGTAGAAAGGGTATGTGATGTTGTATTCGAACACAACACGTATGTGTTCTATCCGAACTGCTCTTATATTTGAGGAAAGTGGACCCACACCATTTCGATTTCGGAATGTTCAACACTCAAGGACCAGCTTGCCCAGCCTTCTATGGGGCACTACTGGTCCTTCCCATGCCCCGCCCCTTGCTAAGCCCCAAAACCTCAAAATGCCCACCTGGGTCCCGGTTGGTGTTTTATTCACGATGTTCATGGGACGATAGACCCAGTTTCCAGCAGGTGGCGCTTCCCATCAATAGACAAGAGAATGTGTGTATGTTTGTGAGTGTGTGTGTGTGTGTGTGTGTGTGTGTGTGTGTGTGTGTGTGAGAGAGAGAGAGAAAGAGAGAGTGGGAGAGAGAGAGAGTGTGTGTGTGTGTATGTGTGTCTGTGTGTGTGAGAGAGAGAGAGAGAGAGAGAGAGAGAGAGAGAGAGTGCGCGTGTGTGTGTGTGTGTGTCCTCCAAAACAGAAAAGAAAACGTAGTATGCGATTGGAACACAAAAGTTTTTTCTTTT